CCTTCCCTTCCCCCCCCTGCCACCACCACTTCCTCTTCTCCTCCCCTCCCCTCCACCGCCGCTGCCACACAAGCCCGTTCCCTGCCTTCTGCCTTCCATGTTGCAGGGCCGGAGGCCGCGCTCAGGCCCCGGAGGCCGAACCCAGAGGCAGGCCCGCAATGTGCCGCCGAGAAGTTTTAAAATCCCGGGCCGTGACGTCACTTCACACCCGGGCATCCTCCCCGCCCATGTGCAACGCCGCACATGGGCAGCAGCAGCCGGTGAGGAGGAACCGCGCACAGCAGGGATGGGCCAAAGCCCTCTCCACGCAGAGCCGGGGGAAAGACCCAGCTCCACATATTGGTGGAGCAGGGCCACTGGCTCTAACTCGCTGCCACTTCCGGGTTGAGGGGCGCGGGGCCTGATTTGATGGAATTGGTCGGATCGGCCTAAGGCTGGCCCTGCTGGCAGCCACCAGGCACGCTGAGGCCCAGTATTTTTTTCCTGCAGCCCGCTATTGGGCCGCAGCCCATAGTTTGGGAAACGCTGCACTAGTCTGTTCCATTTCCGTGTGATCCCCAACTGATTTTTCTGTGCGTCAGTGGCTCCTGACTGAGAAAAGGTTCTCTGCCCTTGCTATAACACTTACAAAACACCAAAACGAAACAGCTGACTAACAATGGATAAATTGTGCATCCAGATAGCATTGCTGATGGTGCTATTCACCATGAGCTTTTAGTTCCATCTGTGCCCTGAGAATGATTCCTTCTGGGAGCACCTGGGCTGCAGATATTTAATGTCTTTCTCTTGTCCTTGTGTTCAGGGCCATGGTCTCACTTTCCAGCATTTTGCCAGAGAAGAAACTAGTTTTAAATTATTTTTGTTTAAGCATCTACCAAGTGCAGCATGACTACAGTTCAGCAATACCTGGGAAGAGACAATGATGTTTCCTAGTGATAGGAAAACTTCATATTTTTTTTAAATTTTTCTCTTTACAGTTTATGAAAGTCAAAGCTCTCACCTGAGAAACTGAGCAGGCAGGCGTAGAAGTGTCTTTTCCAAAAGCTTGAGGGTGAACAAGGCTATCAGTTGCTTCCTGTCAACTGGCTGCTTTTAGGCTCCAGCCAGCCTTGCTACAAGTAATTAAAGGAGTCACAAATGCAGTAACAATCAGTAGGCAGTGTGCGTATTTTGCTATAGCGAAACCCTGCAGAAACATTTTAACGTTCACTTCAGGCATAAGCTCAGAGGAGGGTAAAATAGTAGCAGTGGGAGTAAAAGGGAAGGCTTAGATAAAGTAATAGAGCCTGGCTACTTTGTGAACTTTGTGGGAAATGCCTTTTGTTTTGTTCTTATGAATAAATATGCATGGCTCATGCAAGCTAGCTCCCCTTGCTCAGTTACCTTTTTATGCCTGCCACTGCTGGTGGCTCAGTGACAAATTCTGTGTGTCATACATTCTGATTTGCATTAAAGATTCAGACATTTTATCCAGGCTTCTTTAGTTGTTTTTCAGCTCATTCCAGCTGCTGATGCAGCATTCACTAAAGCTTCAAGCCATTTCTATGGGTTTTGAGTGATGTTCTTGAACACTCTGAACGCAGTGAAGCTGTATACTGCTGTACCTCATCATAAAAGAGCTGCCACACAGAGTTGTGTACCTGTAGGCTCAAGTGCGATTTAACTTGCATGCGATGCAGCATAAGGGTCATTATGGGTCTGAATACATTGAAACATAAACCTGAGCTTGAGCCTGCGCACTCTAGTCTACCTCTGCCCCTGCATCTGTGCTGCAGTTATACTAAACTGGTGCTCATGCTCAGAGTCCTGAGACCCATCAGGACTGAAGGTCTCAGGTTGCATTAAGCCAAGCCCCTCCGGTCTGAGCACTATCACTTTGCAGTATAGACATAGCTCCACTTGACTTGGAGCCTGGGAGTCAGCCTGAAGTATCTCACAATTCTATGGAACAACTTCCTTAGTCCTCTATAACCCAACCATCTGCAAGCCACTCCATGAGAAACAGTAGTCACTCCTTCCCCTACAGCCCCTTTGCAAACAGCAGCAGCAGCTCAGGTTAACATTAATCCAGTCATGTCTGATCACCCGCCTGCAAACGTGCTGTTGGCAAGCCTCATGGGTTTGAAATGGAGCTGCTTCCTGGTAGTCTTAGGGTAAGCAGTAGGGAAGCAAAGCCTTATTGTAGGAAACATTTGTCCCTAGATTTTTACTTTTTTCCTTCACTCTGTCTCAAGATTAAGAGAAGCTAATTGCTTCTTAGACCCACATAAAGCCCAATATCCACATAGGAATTTCCATTGATGTCATAAAGAGAAATGAGCAAAGATTGGGCATAAATAATGACCCTCGTTTGAAAAGCAAATAAGGATACCTATGCTTTGAATTTTTGAGGGGAGAGGGGGAGGCAAATAGAACAGTCATTTAATGCAACTGAATTAAGCCTTCTAGTAACAATTAAGCAGAGGTAACTATGACAGTGCGGAGTAGCAAGTAAGTGTCTATTCAGGCATTTTATTAATATCATGACAAAAGGTCAGATTCTGATACCTTATGCTAAGTAGTAGGTTACTTCACAAGCAGTCTCTTTGAGGTCAGTAGAACTACTTGTGACTTCAGGGTATTGGATTCTAGTCCAGAATAGAAAATAAGGGACTGATCCAGAATCCACTGAAGTTAGGTGAAAGACTAGTTGACAGTGAACTTTAGGTCAGGTCTCAAATATCTACAATAAATGACCACGATCAAGGAATAAAGCACTAGGACAAATAAAAGAGGCTTGATCTTGGTGGGACTTGAATAAGAACTGCAGGATTGGGCCCAAAGTGCATGTGGAGGGAGGCTGTTGCCACAGAGATGTGAGTATAAACAAATGAGAAACTCGTGGCTTGCAAAGCAGCAAACATTAGAGATTTTAGAATGTAGCTTTTCATTTTGCGGGGTGGGGTGAGGAGAAATTGGTTTTTGAAATTCAGATGCGGGATGTTAAAACGATCTAGAATTTGTTTTTAAATAGAACATTCAAATGACTGTGATAGCCACTCAAATGTAAATCTCTGCTTTCTGCTGCACATTGCCATAACAGACGTGGAAGAGTCATACCTCTCCTGAAGGATGGATGGGTTCTATGACAAAAACAGAGAAAAACAATTTGGCGTCAACCACAACTTTTCATATGCAAAAAATTATTCCAATCAGCCACAGAAAAGTGGCTGATAAAGGAGGAGAGTTGGCCTGGACCCCTGGATAACCATGACTATATACAGGCAGTCCCCGGGTTACATGGATCCGACTTACATCGGATCCCTACTTACAAATGGGGTGAGGCAACCCCGCACTAGCTGCTTCCCCCCAGCAGACCAGGGAGACGTGAAGCTAGCCCCCTCCCCCCCCGCAGACCAGGGAGACGCGGAGCGGCTTTTCTCAGCAGACACCTCAGCTTGAGAATAAAGGACTGAGGGAAGTGAGGTGTGGGAGAATAAAACTGAGCTCTGGAGAAATGTTTGGCTTGAGTTTCCCCTACAATATGTACCAGTTCCGACTTACGTACAAATTCAACTTAAGAACAAACCTACAGTCCCTATCTTGTAGGTAACCCGGGGCCTGCATGTATATGACAAACGTAAGAACAGAGCATTTTTCCAGACTCCAAGTAGTTTACCAATGAAAAATACCAACATATTATGTATTAAACACCAATTTATATTTGATTTTACAGATCTTTCAAATAACAGACAAATACAATGTTTTTTTTTTAATTTGTAAAAAGCAGTACTACCTGAATATATATGATATGTAAGAATCACAGAATTCTAGGACTGGAAGGGACCTCGAGAGGTCATCGAGTCCAGTCCCCTGCCCTCATGGCAGGACCAAATACTGTCTAGATAATCACAAATAGAGCTTCTATATGTATATGTTAGACTGTGTCTGGGTGTCTGTTCAGGAACTCCTCCTAAACCGTAACAACTAGACTCCCACATTTGCTATGCAGCTTCCTCTTACCCTAACTTAAACCCAGGTCAGGATTTGGTTGTGCCTGGAAAATGGGAAGTGGTGAGAATGGGACTATTTTCCATACAATGGAAAAGTAAAGGACAGAGAGAGGAGGAATGCAAAAGAGAGGTGCACAGGGAGGGAAGGGATGATACTGAGAGTGGCCACTGGGGGCAGCTGCAAGAGAGTGGACCACAGGGCTTGGGCTCTGCCAGCACACCAGCAAGGAGCCCCCTTGACCCAAACCTGGAACCTGCTCCCTCATGGAGAGCCTGCAGACCATGGGGGAGCACTGGAGGAGGGGTAACCC